TGAACCCTTGATAATTTATAAATTATTATAATTTTGTTGTGTCTTACACTGTCCAACTTCTCCCTTCACCCACTTTTCTGTTGTCCCCTAACTCTTATTTCATTATACAAATTAAACAAGAAACAAACCATTGGCTGAAGTAGAGGACTTGATCGAGGGCAGCCGGGGAGGCTTCTCTGAGGCGGTGACATTTAGGACGAGTTATCCGAAGAGCCAGGTGAAGAGAACAGGCAGAGCAAAGCCCCTGAAGTAAGAACAAGCTTGATGTATGTCCCAGGAAGAGTCAGGGGTCAGTGTGGCGGAAGCCAGAGGGAGGGAGGGAGAAGGACAAGATAAAAATAGGGACGGTCAGCAAGAACCATCAATTGTACCAGGTCTCAGTGGTGCAATGAGAAGTCATTGATTATTCTAAGGGGGAGATTGACACAATCTAATTTATGTTTTAAATAGACTAACTGTAGAGTGGAGAAAGAAGCTACTAAAAGGGTCTAAGGGGCTGTTGTTCCTGCCTCTGAGAGACACTGGTAGCTTAGTTGAGGATGGAGGGGGTGGAGAGGGAAAGAAGAGGGTAGTCAAGATTTTTTCCTGGAAGAATCAACAACTTTGTTAGGAAGTGAGGGATCAGAGGGACCGAGTCAAGTCCAACTCCCAGGTATCTGAATGATGGTGCCATTTAGCAAGACAAGGAAGGCAAGGTTGGAGGAGGGAATGGAGCATCCTTTGATAAGACATTGCTGTGGGATGTCAAGTAGGAAATTAACATGTGTGTGGAGCTCAGGGTAGCAGTTGGGAGAGAAAAAAGGCCGGGCAAGAAGATCTGGTTCTACAACGTGGGCAAAGGACAAGAAACAATAAAACCCAAGTCCGTTGCCCTTGGGTCAATTCTGACTCATAGTGACCCTCTGTGTTATGGAGTAGAATATTGCTCCACGGGCTGTATTCCTTCCAGAAGCATTTTTGCCAGGTGCTGCTGGGTGTGGTTGAGCCAGAAATCTTTCAATTAACAGCCGAGGGCAAATCATCTGAGACACCCAGGGACCTAGAAGAAGAGGAACCAATCCAAAAGATAGAGGCAGAGCGCCAGCGAGGTAGGACGAAGTCTAGACAATGTTGTCAGGAAGCCAAGGAGGGAGGTGGCTACATTGTCAGGATCTGGAGGAAGAGGAGGAGTGTAGAGAAGGCTCCCTGAACTGGGCAGCATGCAGGCTGCTAGGGACCGACTTTGACAAGGTCCTGGGGTGGGGTGCTGGGGACAGAAGCCAAGGGAGGTGGACTGAAGGGGGCACAGGAGGTAGAGATGAGTGTAGAAAACTCTCCTGTGTATTTGATCTCCCTTTTGGCCCCCCTTTAAAGTGGTTTCAGTTTGTTTGTTTTAAATGGAAGGGGAAGTACACTTGGATAAAGCCCCTGGGGAAATACCTTCTGACCAGGGGCTGGGCACATGAATCGCCTTGCTAACAAGCAGTCTGCATTGGAAAGTGGATTGGTGTAAATGTAGTTAGGTTAAAATTTAGCACCCTGTCATTCCATCTCCCCCATGATCCATTTAACTTTGTTCTAGTTTTTAAGATTTCCTGCTTTCTTTTCCATTGAGGTTTTCCTCTGTTTTACTTAGCCAGTGTTAGTTTTGAGGGTTTTCTTTTGTTGCTGTTGATTTTTAACATTTTTTTTCAGTATATGAAATCCAGGATAGATAAATCTACAGAGACAGTAACTGGATTAATGGTTCTTTGGGGATATGACCAGGGAGATTGGTGGGGGAATGGGGCACTCATCATGATGAGTACAAGATTGAAGAAAATGCTCTGAAACCGATTGTGGTGATGATTGTACAACTCTTCTCAGTGTGGCTAAATTATTGAATTGTATGATAGCTGAATTATATGCCAATGAAACTGTTGAGGGTACAGATAGCAACTGGAAACACAGGGAATCCAGGATAGATGACTCCTTCAGGACCAGTGGTGAGAGGGTCGATGCCTGGGGGTAAAGGGAATGTGGGATAGAAAGGGGGAACCAATGACTAGAATCTAAGTATTGCCTCCTCCCTGGGGGATGGACAGCAGAGAAGAGGGCAGAGGGAAACATCGGACAGGGTAACTTATGACAAAACGATAATAATTTATGATCTATGAAGGGTTCATGAGGGAGGAGGGGAGGGAGGGGGAAGATGGGCAACTGATATTAGGGGCTAGAGTGGGAGGCAAATGTTTTGAGAATGATGAGGGCAACAAATGTGCATATGTGCTTGACACAATGGATGGATGGATGGATTGTGATGAGAATCGTACGAGCCCCCAATAAAATAATTAAAAATAAAAACTGTTGAGGGAAGAAAAAGAAAAGAAAACTCTTGTGAAGTGTGAACTCTCTCCCAGGGAGCAGAAGAAGAAGAGAAGAATTGTGGAGCTGGCTGGGAAGTCTAGAGAGAAGGGAGCAAGAGAGGAGAAAAGGCAGAAGGCAGAGGGTGGGTGCAGGATGAGAGCAGGGACCCCTCCCCCATTGCCCTGGAGGGGAGGCACAGCAGAAGGTCAGGTGCAGGTGGGTCTGTCAGTTTGGAGGTGAGGGAGTGAATGCTGATGTCTTCTGTTTTCTCAGTGAAGAGTGAAAGCCACCACTCAGAGTGAGGGGGTGAAGGAGTGAGAGCGGTGAGGACCGTGTGTGTCGGTGTGTTTCAGGGAGTGGATGTCGAGCTTCCCAGGATGTGGGTGGGAGGATGCCGGGCTATTAGGGGCCCCTGTGACTCCACAGGGAAGCTGTCCATACGGGAACTCGGTGTATTCCCTTCCTCCTCCTCGTTTTCTCTGTGATGTTTTCAAGTTTATTTTGCGTAGCTGAAATCATACCTCACACACAATTTTATACCCTGCTGTTTTTTCACGTAACAAGGTGGCAGGAGCATTTCCCCATGCATTTGTGGACTCTTTGCAGACGTCACTTTTAACCACACAGGATAACCCACCACATGCATGTTCCTTCACCTGATCTTTCTCCCGTGGCTTGGACATTTGGATCGTTTCCTGGTGGTGACGAGGGTAGCGATGAAAGAGGGGAAGGAGATGGCATGCTACAGGCCAGAGCCCCCTAAATCTTGGATGCCTCATCCAAGACCCTGAAAGGGCCTGTGGTTGTGAGTTGTTCTCACCTTACGGCCGCCCCACGTGCTCCATCAGGTTTTTAAAACTGTGACCTTTCAGAAGCAGAGTGTCAGGCCTCTGGGTGGGTACAGACTCAACCTTTCAGCCAGTAGTAGTTGAGCACGTAACCATTTGTGCCACTCAGGGACTCCTCAAGAGGGGCCTGTTGTTTGGTAATTGATGTTCCTGCCAGGTGTATATTGAGGACCTGAGGACAAAGAGTGAGAAGTCAAAGCAAGTATCATTTGCTTCCCAAAGTGCCCAATGGCTCAGGTATTGGGCAAGAGGTGGGGGTGGGGGAAGAGATTGGGGGGAGCAGGTGGGGCCAGGCATGTGATCCCTGAGCCATTTGCAGCCTAAACATGTATTGCAACAACCGTGTTTGAGGTAACAACAGGGCCCAACACCTACCTGTTTTTCCCATCACACAGGTCCTGAGAGGCACCCCTAGGAGACTTGGCTATGAGCAGAATAGCTAGGGACCTAAGTCCTCCCTGAAGGACAAGGTCTCTTTCAACTGTGTGAATATGGAATGGGCTATCTATGAGGAGGGAGTGCTTATAGCATAGTGGTTATACTTTGGGCTGCTAACCTCAAGGTCCACAGTTTGAAACCACCAGCCACTCCAAAGGAGAAAGATGAGGCTTTCCTGCCTCTGAAAGAGTTACATACTCAGAACCTTCCAGGGGCAGTTCCACCTTGTCCCCCAGGGTGGATGTGAGTTGGAATCATCTCAAGGGTAGTGAGTGGCTTGAGTATCTGTGAGGAAGTGCCCCTTGTCCCTGAGAGTGACCAAGCAGAGGATGGGTGGCTGCTTGGAGAGCAGATTGTCCAGGGAAATCTTAGCTCTGAGACTGGTTGAGTCTCTTCCGGCGTGGGGGTTCTGTGAAGCAATTGATTGCATGGCATACATTGAGTTACTGTTATGAGCCATGGACGGAGACAGGGTACCTACTGTGTGCCAAACACTGGGCTTTCTGTGCACACTCTCACCTCATGTTGGAAGAGCCCACTAAGGAAAGGATCACCTTCCCATGTGAGAGAGGGAAACCAAGGCCCAGGGGAGGGGATAGTTTCCTCCCAGGCACCCTGACAACAGGGGCAGCACCCCCAGTCCTGTGTTTCTCCCTGCAGAGCAGGCTGTTGATGGAGAACTCCACAGCTTGACCCTGTCCTGTAATGTTTGCGTCTTGAAGGGACACAAATATTTGAACAGTGGGCTTTGGGCATTGCATGGTACCTAGTCATCTGGTGAAAGGTAGAGCCAAGGGCTCAGTACCATTGCCGCCCTGGGCTGGTTGGGGCAGTCTGTAAGCTATAGGGGTGACAAGGCCTTGTTTGTGTGTGTTTGTGTGATTTGAGTCCGTGATGTACGGTCATCTTGGCAGGCCTTCCAGCTGGAACCGGAGCTGGCGAGGGCCCAGGGCTTGCCGCCCTCAGGCAGGTATAAGAGCCATGGACAAGGGCCTGGAGCTAGGCAGAGGTCCACCCAAGGACTACTGCGCACAGAGGCCCAGGTGGACGGGGTTGCTCCCCTTTCTGGGGAGATTGATCAGGAAGGCATTGTTCTGGACAGGCTGGAGGAGGTCACCAGAGGCCCAAGGATTGGCAGGGTGAGTACGTCCTTGCTGAATTCCATCTTTGCCCACAGATCTCTGGACCCCTGTGAGCGACCAAGAGACGCCCTGTCCAAGAGGCGTCCAGGTAGAGACTGGCCAGCCTCTCTAAAAGGCACCACAGGGGACGGTGCTACGTGTGGTCATTCAGCCAGTGCTCAGCAAATGCCAGCTATGGTGGTTCTACCTCACCGAACAGAGGATAAAAAGACCAAGGCCAGCTAAGCAGGCATTATCTTCTTACCCTTACAACAGGCCCATGAGTATTTTACCAATGAGACGGAAGCACAGAGATGTTAAGTCACTTGGCCAAGGTCACACAGTAAGTGGGAACACCAGGATTTAGACTTCCTGACGTCAGGGTCCTTGCTCTTAACCATGGTGTAAATACTGCCCCATGACCCTGCTAAGTCCCTTCTGCTTTGGGAACTGCAGTTTCTTGGCCTGTAATTGGAGGGTTCAAAATGATTGGAAAGGTATTTCTAGAAAGGTACCTGGGCCAGCTTGAAGCACCAGGGAAGCCTTGTTGGAAGTGTTTATCTAGATCTATGAATACGCCCTTTAACCCAGCATTCAACTTCGGCAATATATCATAAAGGATGTAATCAGATCTATGAACAAGCAAGTTTATTACGTTGTGACTGGTGCCATTGAGCCCATGGCAGACTCATAGCAATCCCCTCTGATAGAGTACCCAGCCGCCCTAGGGGGTTTTCTTGACTCTAAAGCCCCAGTGGCATAGTGGGGTATGGCACACCTGGGGTGGCACAGCGGGCTGCTTACGCCAAGGTCAGCAGCTTGCAACCACTAGCCCACTGCATGGGAGAAAGATGAGGCTTTCGACTCTCATAAAGAGTTACCGTCTCAGAAACTCACAGAAGCAGTTCTACCCTGCCCTAAAGAGTCTCTGTGAGCCAGAATGGACCCAATGGGAATAAGGTGGTGTTGTTGCTGTTTTTTTAATCTTTACATGAGCAGATGGTCAGATCTTTCCACTGTGGAGACCCTGACTGGGTTTGAAGTTTATTATAGGATTGCTTATAAACACAGACAATTAGCAACAAAATGTCCCACAGTAGGGGAGTGTATACTATGTAACCCTTACAAATCATGTTTGTAAAGGATGTCATTGGAAATTTTCCTTTCACTATTAAAGGGGAGAAGCAATTTATAAGCTATGTTAGACCAATATACAAATGTGTATGCACATGTATATGAAGTAAATATTAAAGGCGAGTATCTCTGGGATATGGAATTATGGGCATTTTTGTTTCCCTTTTTTCTGGAATTCCCCCAATTTTCTGCAATTAACACATATTCCCTTTTCACGATAAACAAACACACAAGTAGGCTTTGGTCTACCCATAGCTCCTTTCAAGTGTCTCTCATAAC